GAGAGGGAGTGAAGCCGCCATAGTTATGTCCAAAGTTGGTTCCTCCGTATGGCTGAGGAGACGGCCAGCGGCTGTTGTCGAACCGGTTGTTTCGGCGACTGCTAGGGGGCCGAGAGTACATCTCGGGTTCATGGCTCATACGATCATTGCGAAAACCATCCGCCATAGAGTACGGACCAGCGGGACCCATATAGCCCTGGTTGAAGCCGCCACGTCCGCCACCATACCAGTCACCACCAGAGTCGGAAATAGGAGCAGCCGCATCAAAGGAGAGAGGAGCTCTATTGTTGCTCCAATGGCGGGGACGACTGTAGCTGTTGATGAAAGGGGCGCCGATATCCGAGGAGTTGTCGTCGGTAGGCCAGGCGTTCTCAGCTCCGAATGCCCCCGAACGAGCCGCAGGCGGAGCCGGAGCGATGTCTTCTTCTTGCTTGACCGAGCGCGACTGGGCCAGTTCGTGATCAAGGCGAGAGATTTTGTTCTGCGCTCGGGCAAGCTCCATCTTCAGTCGAAGGAGCTCGTCCACGTTGCCGTTAGTCTCCTTTAGAGCGGCACTGGTTGGGCGACTCGTGGGCGCAGTCGTGGGGAACGAGTCCGTGGCAGGAGTGATAGGGACCGAGTTCGTCGTCGAAGAAGCCTTGTCGAAGTGACGGGAGTACAAGCTGTTCTCATCAGAGTTCTTCAAAGCCTCGTTCTGTTGATCGAGGGCAGCTTGCTGCTCAGACAGCTTGGCAAGGAGCATATCCATAGGGTTCGTGCCAGCAATCGTGTCCTGATTGGTCTTCTTCTGTCGCCGCTGTGAGCGAAGCGGCAGATTGCGGGAGGAAGAACCAACCTTGAGAACATTCTGATTGGCAAGTTTGGACGTAGCAAGAGTTGCAATGGTTTGCTTCTGCTTGAAGGCAGGGAGACCCTTTGATTTTTGTTAGCCCGAGCCTCTATCTTGTTCGAAGAACTTGTGTTGTACGGCAGTGGCCAAGGGCAGAAAAAATGATAGACCTTCAAGACAGCGGTGAGAAAAGAATTGTACTTACCGAGGCAGCTGACTCGATGGAAGGCTGGATGTTTTCCTCTTCGTGATGAGGCTTCAAAGCCGGAGGAGAGCTTCGCTTGGGGGTCTTGGGTGTGAGACCCGCGGAGGGAGGTGTAGACATCGTGACGTCGGACAATCTCTTCTTAGAGGGTCAATGCTTTGCAGAAGATAGAAACAGAGGTAATGCCGTAAGGTGGCAGACAAGTTGAGAAAGATTATTTGGGAGGGAGACACAAAGAAGAGTGCTGATGAAGATCTTCTCTGCAGTGGAGGGAGAGGTTTGTTTGTGGAGGAATTGTGGAGGGGAAAGGTGAGGAAAGCTTTTTGTGGTGGGAATGGGGAGAGAATGGGGGACGGGAAGGTGAGGTAGGAACGAGGAAGGAGCTCGAGTTGGTGTTGGGAAGGAGGCAGTCCCGGGCAGCACAGGCACCTTTTTGGAAGTAAGGCGTACGAAGGGCCTAATCGAAGCTGCTGCGGGCCAGGACAGAATAATCCGAAAGCGTCAAGATCGTGAAGTTGGTTCCGAGTTGAAGGAGGAATGATGGGCTGCTGCTTGGCCTGGCGAGGGAAGGGTTGTTGTTGAGGGTGTTGAAGTCGGAAGGAGTTCGCGACTCGGCTGAGATTTAGCACGGTCTTCCTGATTTGGACGAGGAAGTTCAACTTGTTTATGCAGGTACCGTACAAGTCTTTCTACATGTGAAGACCTGTCGACCCGCCCCATATTCCACCTGAAGGAGGAGGGCCTGACTAGCCGGCCTCTGATTATTCACCACTGCCTACCATAGCGTTGTCTAACCACCAGATGACATTCAACTTGAAGAGAAAGCATACCGCCCCTGCTGCCTTGCCCAAATCTGTTCATCAGCCCTTTGAAAAGACTCAGCTTTTGCGATGGCACTTCTTTGCTTGTCCAGATATGCCAAGAGCAGTAGGACGAAGATCCACAGATCCAGCGCAGAGATCAGACGGGGTTGTTCCTAACACTGGAGAAGTAGGAAGTGCTGTGTGTCTTTACTTGCGAATAGCTCCGTGTAGCACGCAGTGGCGTTCAGCACCTACCGACCAAGGCAATCATTTAGCTGGGATTCAATAAAACGGGAGTTGTCATTTGAAACATGAAACAAGGCTGTCTCTCGGAGAGACTTATGATTTTTTGACTCTGATATCCTCCATGGTATTTGTACACTGGCTGCCCTCCATGTTAATGGACATCCTCCCCATGACCCGCTGAAGCCGTGATCCCCGGTATTTTCATACCGTGCCTGTGCCTGAGGGTCCCTAGACATCCGCATACTGTGACAGAGCCACATGGGCTGCCTCGGTCGGCGACTGTACTGCCCCAATTCTCGCCGCTCTCTATATGTGGAGAGTGTCCTGGCGCGCAAGATTCCGGGGGATCGCTCTATGAATGCACATCGTATCGTACAATCGATCTCGTGGTCGACGTCTATCGCTTCTTGGGCTCGGCTGTAGAACGGTCAGCGTAACCATCCAATTGGAGGCAACAAACGAGATGACTTACTCTTCGTCTTCTTCTTTTTCGGCGCGCTCTTTCCTCTGGCCTTCAGTCTGTCTAGGCGTTAGCAATAGCTCCTTCGCCCCCTTCAGCCCATGACGTACCCGGCAATGTGTTCCAAGCGGTCCATCTCTTCCAAGTCTAGAGTTGTGACATGAGGACCAAACTCCCTCTGCACATCCTTGACGGTCGCAACCTTGCGTGGGTAGTAGTCGGCGATAGCAGGTCCCTTCAATCGCTGGCGCAGGATCTTGTTGCCCGTCCTCACTCCCTCCGGGTTAAATACTGTCGCAAAGACTTCGCATTGGGCCTTTAGAGGTTAGCAAAAACCAGACAGGTCAGAGAATCGCGGAATTACCTTCATGAGGTCCAACAACCTCGCGCGTGGGACACTCATCTTTGTAGGTCTTGATAGAGCTCTATCAGACCAGCCAGAAATTGTCGCGAAGTCGAACAACCTTAGCTTGAGCGAACCTGAGTCCTGAATTGGACCCGCAAAATGAGAGCTGCGCACTCCAATTGGTTGCGGTCTTGGGATCATCGATTGGCCGGTAATACTCGGTACGTACCCATATCCTTGTCACATCCCAGGCTAACGGACTTGATCCCTGCAGCGAAAGCACAGTGAGCTCCACCCAAGCCTGGACTTAATTTTTGTTGCTTCTTGAGATGCTCACTGGTGAATAAGACGGAAGTTTCGACATTGCGACGAAATACTCTCATTCCTATCGACCACATTTCAATTTTTTTCAATTTTACAACATCAACCACGAAACTTTGTGGTATCGTTCGACCAGAATTTGCAATCTGTTTGCCTCGAGGGAGAATCAAAATGAGCAAGCGCTCGAGTTCAGGGATGCTACCACCGAGCAAGCGAAGGCATGCCGAAAGCGAGGCAATAGACTTGCTTCTCGATCACGGCGATGACCTCATCAAATGTCTCCAGGCACTGACCCGGGCCAAGACAAGATCTTCTGTCCATCGCGAAGACTTGCAAAAAATCCGGCAGCTTAGCAAGGTGTTGTTGCCATCTTTTGAGCAGTTGGCTAGTGAAGGAAAAACAGAAGCCCTCGAAAGCGGTGAGATTGACGAGAATGAGGTAAGGACATTAGCTTCGTTTCATACGTTGTCAACTTTTTGCTGACTTAATAGGGGAAGAATGCATCCCACGAGAAGGGCCAATCCCCATTGACACCGAGGCAAAGCCCAGTGGTCTCAGGACCGCCAATACCGTCTTTCATCTTGGTCAAGCCATGGACGCCAGCCGATATTCCGAAGACAATGCCGCCTCTGCCAAAAATCACGAATCCTGTCCTAGAGTTGGCGGCCTTCACCCATGTTGGCGTGGCCAAGCACAAATCAGATTTGAGTTACGACCGCCTTGAGTGGCTTGGAGACGCCTATGTCGAACTGATCTCATCTTCCCTCATTTTCCAAACTTTCGGAGGGATGTCAACGGGCCAGTGCTCGCAGATCCGAGAGCTTCTGATTCGTAATGCCAACCTGGGAGAGTACTCAACACACTACGGACTGTTCGAAAGAGCGAATCTGCCGTCCGAGTTCAAGCCCAGAGGTACCCAGCCGGCTGTGGCAAAACCACATGAAATCAAAAAGGTTCGCGGTGATTTGTTTGAAGCATACGTCGCTGCTGTGGTTCTTTCCGATCCCATCAACGGTCTCGCTCGAGTTGCAGAGTGGCTCAGGACACTATGGGCATCGACTATCAAGGACCAGATCAGGTCGGTTGCTAAGACGCCCGGGTTGCAGACAGTCAAGGAACTTGGCGCGACGGTGACAGAAGAGTCTAGTCTGCCTCCGAAGGTCCTTCTCAGTCAGGCTATTGGTGCGAACGGCATCACCATCCGCTACGAAGACTTACCCAATGCGAACAAGAAAGACAAGTACAACAAGAAGCTGGCCCTCTTCAGCGTCGGAGTGTACCTTGACGGATGGGGCGAGAAAAATAAGCTCCTTGGAACCGGTAGCGACTTGAATAAGAAGGAGGCGGGCCAAAAGGCAGCGCAAGTGGCGCTTAACAATAAGAAATTGTTGAAGGTGTATCAGGATAAGAAGAAGGCTTTTCTGGCAGCTCTTGGGGAGAAATAGGCGAGGTCAGAGTGAGGCGGTTGCACTATACCCATGATACTAGTTTCAATTGAAGCAATAACCATCTACAAAGAAATTTGAGTCTCCGAGTGACGAAATTACTCGAAAAGCTAACGCCATAAAGTACATAGCTGGGAAGAGTTATTAGGATGGTCGATAGAGCACATCAAAAATACCAGATGAACTCGACTCGGACGTTCGCTGAAGTGTTAACCATACAAATCGCGTGGGTGCTCAACCTAGGAGCCGAGATGAGTAAACAGATAGCTGCCCAATGCCGAACAACGATGGACCTCCGTAGCCGCTATACTGGGACCCATAGGCCTCGGCTCAATATCAGCTCAGAACTCATACATACTGAAGTCTCAATTGACGGAACTCTAAATTGAGGACGAAAATAAAATAAAAGACAATGGGACATCTCGCACATCCAAGGTTGCCCGCATTTCACGTGCCTACATGTCTCTCTCGGCCGACAAGCAGATGCCGCAGGCTACCGGTACCTAGCTTCAATCACACTCACAAGGGACAAAAGACGCGGGGATGAAGGGAGTAAATTGCTAGTCGGGATCTCGGAGAAGCACAAACCCCTGACAAGCCCGCGTCAGGCCCGCGCACCCAGGTCCCGCGTCCACTCTAAACTCCCCCAGATGCTGCTGCTGGGTTGGGGTCGTAGTTGGTTGCGCGGGCTTCGCTGCGTCTGCATTGCGTTGCGTGACCCGCGGCCGAGGCAAACAGAATTTACCGGAAATCGCCCACCCCTTCCGATGCTGCTAACATCGGCGCGAACCCCAGTGGCCCTCCCCAGGGCCCAATTTAGAGACAGCTGATTGCCGGTACCGAAATACCTTTGCCTCAATGCCAGCACCCGCCATCGCCGCCGCTACTCTCTTGCTACCCACCAGATCCCTTCTTTCTCTTTGGACGACGAAGTGAAAGAGTCTCATGGCGAAGCTCTCACATAATGCATGTCAGCGTGCTGGATCTCTAACTGTCTCCTCTTCCCAGCACCTGTTGCTCCCCCATTCCGTTTCAGTTCCGGCTGCCAAGGTACCTCGCTCTACCGGCACGTCCAGGTGATTTGCGGAACTAGGTTATCTGAGTTGCTATCTTCGCCTGGTGTTGTTGAGCCGAACCCAACCCCGACGCCCAGAACACCTCGGATATACCCCCATTAAACGAACGCGTCTTCCCTCCCTTTGCCAACTAATCACGTCGGTCCGGTCGCCTCGAGAAACGGCTTTCTAGATGGCTGACTCCGTGGGTGAGTGCAAGCAGAACCTTACTCTGCGCCCGTTGTGGATAGAGCAATTCCCCGGCTAATTATGCGATTATGCCTTCTCTCTATAGATCGCGTGTTCGTCCATGCTTTAAATACGGTCAAGAAAATCCCCAAAACGGGGGCATCGCGTCCCCCGCCGTCCGACAGACTTCGACTCTATGGCCTTTACAAGCAAGCGATGGAGGGGGATGTCGATGGCGTCATGGAGCGGCCGACCTCGGCTTCCGGCATGCCAGCCGACGAGCTTCAACGCGAGAAAGACAAGTGGGATGCATGGAACCTCCAGAAAGGTCTGAGCCGGACGGAGGCGAAGAGGAGATATATCGAGGCATTGATCGAGACGATGCACAAATATGCGACAACACCGTAAGCCCGCATACCTACCCTACTGTCACTGGAACCGCTCTTTGCGCATCGCAGCCCACTGACTCGTCACCACAGAGACGCAAAAGAACTAGTCTCGGAACTCGAGTTCGTATGGAATCAGATCAAGAACAATAGCCCCAGCTCGACCGACTCCTCACCGAAAGGCACAGGTTACACCGGTGAATTACGACAGTTCCAGCCACCCCTGACCGGATCCGAAGGCCCCCTGAAGGTTCTCAGCCCCATGAGCGAGGACGATGCGGCAGAAAGGAACTCAGATGGAAGGATAGGTTACGACGACGATGACGAAGGGGGCGCGCTCGTGCCTAGCAGTAACTGGTCCCGCAGCGTGGAGCGCGCACTCGAGAAGCTGTCCGCCGAGGTCGCGGCATTACGAGAGCAAATAACAACAGGCAGAGAGTGGAAGTCCAAAAAGTCACGAAGCTTCCCAGCCTGGCTACGATGGTTTACATGGGTTATCATGAAACATCTAGCCATCGATATGGTGCTGCTAGCCTTCATCCTACTGTGGATGCGCAAGCGGAAGGACCGGCGACTGGAAGACTTGGTCCGGGCAGGGGTGAAATTGATGCGGGAGTACGTGAGGAACGTCTTACCGGCCAGATGACAATTCTCCCGCTGGCAGCAAGAGAAGGCGAAGCCTTCAGGCTGATATAGCATTGACTCGATCGACAGCATTGCTACTTGCTGCTTGTAGCGACACCGATCTGTTTAGTGTGTTCTATACCCTTCGCTCCGCTTGAGAGGCTTCTTCGACAGCAATGACGCTTTGAAGTCAGTCTTGGAGTAGTGGCGAATGCTCCCATGACGGCCCGAACGTCTATGCCCCTTTGATAGAACACGGAATGATCTTATCAAGGGAACAGTCTGGATAGCGACGATGAAGAAATCCCCTCTTGGAGACGGGCAGCCAATCCGAAGTATCCCCCAAAGGACATCACAAAGAAAGCCATCATATGGGAAAGCAACCACACATGCTGAGCCAAATGCAGCAGTTGGCCAAGTCTTCGGGGTCACGAGGCAGGAACCGAACGGACTGAACAACCTACATATTCATGGAATGTCCAGAGCTAGGACCGGGCGGATCATATAAATGTGATATCCAATAGCAAATAGTTACAAATTCAAAAATTTCAAAAATTCAGCGTTTCACTCTCGTACCTATGCCGCCGCATTTACCTGCTCAGACTCGCACTGAACTTTTCACTTAGTACACCAGCGAAGTTGAGGAAACTTCAACGACTTCACTTCAAAGTGAGAAACAAGCAAACAAGCGATGCTAACAGGGCCTCTGCAACGAAACTTGAACATATCTTGTTCATGTGTGCCCATTGAGATTCGAGTCAATCCCAAAAATTAGTAGGACCGGGGTGTAAGTTTGGAGCCACCTTGAGACTGCGATCACAGGCGTGGGACCTCAGCTTACCTTCACAGTTTTAGTCCCACCTTCCCCCGAAGCACAACCTCAAACTTTCGTCCTACACACTCCATCATATCACTCAATTCAATTAGGTCGCGACACTGCGATTTCTACCTGAGATGCGGCCAAGAATCAGACTGGCACTCGGATTTCGATAATAGCGACGGACTCGTGGGCAAGATGCAAGCCACAAGTGATCAGTCGACGAGACTTGGAAAGGCAGGGGCCTCTGCTGATTATACCATGGAGGAGGAGGAAAATATCCCACAAGCCGTGCCGGCTCTGGCGATGTTCGTTCCTTTAGAAGAGAGCCTCTTCGATCCCTACGACGCTCCGCGTACCGAGATTGAGCGCATCAAGCTCTGCCAAGAGAATCTCGAAAAACACACAGCCGCCGTCGAGCAGAACCTTGTCTTTGTTTATGAGAGAGAGCACAAGCGAATCTTACAGGTTGCGAAACAAGAAGAAGCGGAAAAAGGCTTCATTGAGACGCCCGCGGGCCTCATGCAAGGCGAGGAAGCTCTCATCATGGAGTCAGTCCACGCCCCGATACCGCCCGGCGCCGATTATAACGACCGGCACTTGTCCACGTACAAGCCTCCCGAGACTCCGCAAGTGATGCCTCCCAGGCCATCAGCACTTCAATGGTCTCTTTACAATGCTGGCCAAGCCGTGGGTCAACTGCACGGATACCACAACCACGCCCAAGAGCTCAAAGAGCCCTATCAAGAGATGTTGAACGCTGCACTCAAGGCATCGTCTGCCGACCAAGGGCAGGGGGATGAGCCTGCTCGGAGCTAGAAGCGACAAGAGGTAGCTTGAGTAGCAGTTGGCCAATGTGCGTGAGGAAGACAACAGGAACTCAGGACATGCAAGACAGCCAGAGGTCTGAGGAGGATTGCCGACCGACCAAATCGCTGCCATAAGGATGTATCCGGCGTGTGACGGCGACACACCCGCCACGCGGTTCGTGTACATAAGTAGTGTACATACACGTCACGAGATATTAGTAAAACCACACATACTATCTGCATATGAGTCTCATCGTCATCATGATATGTAACGACCGGCGGTAAGAGGCAGCGGTCATTGAAGAATTCTCCCATGCTTCCATAAACGGCGTCAAAAAGCTTTATCTAGGTACACTAGATAGAGGAAGGCTCGATCAAGCATCTTGCGAAGCTCAAGCTCACCTACGATAAGTGTCCATACAATTTAAAGTGAAGAGGAAAAAGAGAAAGAGGCGCTCTGCGACAAAATTTTCCGCAGACTAAATGGTGCTCAGAGGGATTTCTTGGTGCCTCAGGCGATAAGTAAGCTCCCGGGATGGTCGACCAATCACGGTTGATGTAAATTAATCGCGATTTACGCACTAGCGCCACCAAATCCCCATGGTCCGGGACAGAAGAGCAGTTCCCTCCCGACGTCAACGATTGAATATCAATCCGCCTCTCACCCAAACGCCCTCCCCCGTTTCGTCAGATTCTCAATCCGTCAAGGCGATACGATGCTGCGGCATTCATTAGCACGTTCGGCTTGGCGGACTGGCAAGCAGGCCGCCAATGCCTCGCGAACTTTTGCTACAACAGCTCGCAGGAATGCCGAAGTCGAACTGACTGTTGGTAAGGACGAACCCGCCCTCGCGAGGGGCTCAATTGGTTTCTATCGAGGTTGCTGACGAGATCTTTAGACGGAAAGAAGGTGTCGGTCGAAGGTGAGCTACAATGTGGCCGTGTCCGAGGATTCCTACTCACGATCTTCTAGCCGGCTCCGCCCTGATTCAAGCTTGCGAAAAGGCAGGCGTCACAATTCCCAGGTTTGTCCAGCCGTCAATAAACAATTCGTATGGCATTAACTAACTTCTCTACAGATATTGCTACCATGAGTACGACACCCTTTTCGATCGAATCG